ACCAGTTGACCAGGTGACTGACCGACCACTGACTAGTGGTAGCCGCCTTCCCTGCTAGGTGCTGATTGGCGAGATGATTGGCTAGCCGACTAGCTGGCTGAATGCCTGACTGATATGCTCAATGGCTGGCTGACTAGCTGGGTTGACCGTGCAAGTTTCCAGTCACACCCTATTGTGTCAGCATGAGGGAAGATGGGACCAAAGTCTTTGGCCCCTGCCCCATTCCCATGTCTCAGGTGGAAGGGGAGCCATAGCTGGTCACGAGCTGTGCTTCAACGCAAGTGAGCACCCTGGGGCCTCCCCAGGTTACAGTGACAGGTCTGGGCCACTCCTCTGGAGACAGCGCACAAAACAGGGAGCCTGTTTACAAGGAGTAACACATTTGAATCCTGGGGCTCACCTGCCGGGTGGGTGGGCAGGTGAGATGGGACACTGGCGGAGCTGTGAGAGTGACCCATAGTTCTCAGCAGAGCCTGCCCTGAGGTCCCTGGGGACTTCGTGGCTCCATGCCACCCCATAACTGGTCGCCAGCCTCCCCGGCTTGTCTTGGCTGTCTGCCCATCTCTTCAAACTCCCCCCTCTCCTTCCCTGCCTGTCTGCTCTCAGGCCCTCCCAAACTTTCCTCTTCCTCCCTCAAGATTGCACTGAGAGAGGGCACCCGGGCATCCAGACCCCCCCAGCCCTCCTGGACCTGTAGAGCCAAGCCTAAGCCGGTGTCCAGGCCAGTCACCAAGAGTCTCAGGAGACTCAGGGCCAGGCTCCAGACCGAAAACTGCTCCTACCAGTGAGAAGAGGGCAACACAGAGGCTTCAGGAGTAGAAGCCACAGGCAGAAACCCAACACCCTCCCCAGAAACCAGGAGACCTCCAGGCTGGTGCTGCCCTCTTGGTTTTCTTCCCCACTGGGCTCCTGCCGGCTCTGTGGCCCAGCTGTACCCAGTGTGGCTCATGGCCAGTTTATGTCTGTCCCTTCTGCCCCCTCCAGAGCATGGGAATGGGCCAGGAGCCAAAGGCTGTGGTCCCATCTTCCCTCCTCACCCATCATGAGCTTTGCCAGTTGGGTCTATGGATGGTCAGGGAGGGAAGCTCCACACAGGGTCCAAAGTCAAACAGTTGGAGGGAGTCCAGGGGATTTCTGCTGTGGGAACAAAGCGTTCTGAGGATGCCGAGCAGGGGAACCAGAAGGGGGGCAGGGTGGGGAGAGAGCAGGGCCCACACTCCCATGGGAGATAAGGGCAGCCAGTGCCTCGGCCCACCCGTAGGGAGGCAAGGTTGCTTAGGGATCAGCAAGCCAAATGGTAGGATGGGAGTATCCTTGCCCCAGAACTGTCCCTGGACTTTTCCTTGCTGATTCTGGTGCCTCTTCAATTGCCTCTTCCCTGCTGTCCTGCATGCCATGTGTGATGACCCATCTGGTGAAAGGGACAGTGATGGGGATGAAACTTCCTGTACTTTTCTAGAGTGAGCTGGAGTCACCCTTAGCCAGAACAAGGCCAGTGAGGCGGGCTTGAGAGGGCTCACTCAGGCCTTCCCTGTCAGACCTTCTGCTTAAGTCACACCCCGTCCCTGAGCCTCCGGTCCGGCTCAGACCTCCACCAGGCCCTGTTACTTCCCCAGTGGTCCCTGGTTCCTCAGGAGGGGTGGGAGGCCAGTCTGGCCAGTGGCTTGGCCTGCTGCCACAGAGAGCGGCCTGGTCCCTGTGGTGTCTGAGGTGACTGGGTGGCGAGAAGGCCAGAAAAGTGCTGTCAGCAGCATCACCAACCCACAGGAACGCTGGGCTCTCCCACCCCTGACCTCCGAGACCTTCCCTCCACTCCCACTTGCCTGACCAGTCTCTCTCTCTCTCCCCTACAGCCAGGCGCCCAGAACAGTCCATAGGAGGAGACACTGTGGGGGCCGCCCGCCCCCCCTGCCTAGCCATTCTCCTGGGAGTGTGGCCTGACCACCTTCAGAGCTCCTGCCTGCCAGAACTAGACCAGAGCAGCCAGGCCACGGTCCTCCGCCCTCGACCCTCAGACCCTGGACTAAGAGAGGGCTGGACAATGCCCTTTGCGCTGCTGATATTTATCGTGAGCCCTGGAGGTTCACATCCGCTTGAGGGCCCGGTCCTCCTCCCACCTCTGAGGCAGCACCTGGGGTAGACCCAGAGGCCCGTGCGATATGCAAGAGCGGGGTGGGCACTGAGGAACGAGAGAGCCCCTGTGCCCAGAGGACCTGCCTGGTGCCACAGGATCCCAACACCGACAAGCAGGGACTTGTCTCCAGAGAGAGAAGCCTGAGCACTGGGCGGGACGGCGTGTCTGGATTTCCCGTAAAGGTGTGCAAGCCAGGAGACGGGAAGAGGAGGCCCCTGGGTCTGCTGGTCGGCACTGACCGCCCAGAGGGCTCTACCCCCTGAGTGCCAAAGTGCCCCTGGCTGGTGCCAGGCTGAGAGGGGAGGCCAGTTCTGCTCTCAGGACCTGCCTGGCTCGGCTGGTGAATCCGAGGAAGACCAAGACCTGGCCTCTGCCCCGCCTTCCCGCCAGCCCGCCGAAGCTTCTCTGGAGGCCAGCAGAGGCTGCCCACATGAAGGAAGCCATTGCACTGTGAATACTGAACCTGCCTGCTGAACAGCCTGCCCTTCCACGCGGAAGCCAACACCTGCTGCCCGCCTCAGCCTCTCCCCGGCTCCCCGCACTGGGGGCCCAAGCCGGCCTCACCTGTCGATTGCCAACTGAGGGAGCCCCTAAGCCCTGACCTTCTGCTGACCCGGCCTTTGATTCCCGGGGTGGGGGACCGGCCAGGGCACCAGCCAGAGCTGGCCTTTAGGCTGTGTTGTCCGGCCAGGTTTCTGCATCTTGCACTTTGACATTCCCAAGAGGAGGGAGGGCAGAGACCCAAGGCCACAGGCTGCAGGGTGAGTTCCGACTGAAAGAGGATCTTGGAAATGTGGGGCGTGCTCCTGAGGGTGGGAAGGGGTTCTGCACCCCTGACCCGCCAGCCCAGCTCCTTCCCGTGTCCCAGCTACCCCCCAGGTTGTCCTTGTTAGGAGCCACGAGGCTGGGGTGTACCCAGCCCCGCCTGCACAGCCCAGCGCCATCTTCTCGCCCCTCTCCCCTCCTCCTCCAGCCAGTGGGCAGTGATTCTTCCAGCTCTCATCCCACCCCTGAGACCACCCTGACCAGGCGAGCCAGGATTGGGGCGGGACCAGAAGCATCCATCACCTGCTTCCAAGCCCGCCTTGAGGGCCTCAGCTTCCTGATCAGCCTCTGGCCTCGCTCGGAGCTGGCTGCAGTGACCAGACTGTGCCCTGGGTCCCTCTGTGCTGCTGTGCCCCCCTTTCCTGCCGTGCGGGGCACTCCTGGCTGTGACCTTCCCTTCCTGCCCTGGAAAGTGAGAGTCTCAGGGCGCTGCCTCCCTGCCCTGCTGCTGACAGTTTCAGGAAGGGGAGCAGAGCCCAAGGGGCTCCTTCTTTTAGCCATAGACTCTATATCGGATGCTAGAAAGTTTGTGTTTAAAAATGGGAGGGGGAAAAAAAAAGCAGAAAAAGGCATTAACCCCCACCCCACTCACCCCTTAAATTGATAGCATTTCAGAAGTCCAGAACGGAATCCAATCCACTGCAGAAGCTCTTTGTGGGCACTTGGTGGCACAGGAGCAGGAAGGCCCCCCGTTACCTGCACAGGAACCCCAAGAAGGGATGTTGGCTCACACACTGTGAGATTTTGTTTTTATACTTGGAAGTGATGAATTATTTTATATAAATACATTTAAATATCTATTTAAAAAATAGGAAGCTGCTTATATATTTAATAATAAAAGAAGTGCACAAGTTGCTATGTGTGACTCATGGGAAAATCTGCTTTGGGGGTGTGGGTGGCAAAAACGGGGGTGGGCGGGCAGCCACTGCTGGGTGAGCCCCAATTCAAAAAACTTTTTCCAAGCTACATGGGGAAGCAGGGTTCTCTCCAAGTTTCCGTCTAGTTACCATAGCCTCCTGCGTTATTGCTGGCCCAGATATGTTCAGCTGCATATCTGGTTAATAGGAAAATGGACAGAGAGCAGCCAAACCTCAGGCCTGCACTGCCCAGCCTGGGAGAACGCCTGGTTGGGCTCTGTCCAAGGACCCTAACCACTGACCCTGCCATCCAGGCTACAGGGAGTGGCCAGGACCGCCAGAGTGCTGGGGTGAATGAGTGCTGTCTCTGGGCTGGACAGCAAGCGGGCTGCACGAGGACATCAGTCCCCATCTCCCCTGCGGGTGGAGAAGAGACCAAGGGTTCAGTCTTCTGGGGATGGAGGGGTGCTGGGAAGAGCCAGAGGGATTGAAGCCTCAGCCTCCCCCAAACACACACTCGGGAATTGGCTGTGATAAAAGGGGTCGCCACACCCCTGAATAAAGGTTTGGATCAGTGTTTCTCAACCCTGGCTCACCTGAGAAATCCTTGGGTTTTTCCAAAAATACCATGTCTCGCCCTCAGTCAACAAAATCACCATGTCTGGGTAAGGCTCAAGCACCAGGCATCAGACATTTTCAAAGATGCTTCAAGTGACTCCTTTGTAATCCAGGGCCAGAAGCATATTGAACTGATCTGTCTGATCTGGTGACTATTTAAAGTAATGAAAATGAAATGAAAACAAACATTCAGTTACTCAGTTGCACGAATCACATCCTGTGCCTACCCCCCCTGGATAACTCAGAAATAGATCAATTTCTGTCATTACAAAAATCTGATTGCACTCTGCTGTCTAAAAGGTTAGACTTGGGGACCAAGGTTGTAGGACCAGCAGGGGTACCAATCAAACCTGGTTGGGACTAAGTGCCCTCTCTTTTCCTTTAGTCCCCATAAACACACTGTTCTTTGTCATTTCCCTTACACTAATTCTTCTCTTTCAGTCAAAATTTCCTCTGAAAAACTTATTTCAGAAACTTATCATATTTTATCATTCAATGCCCATCTTAAAAGTCACCTCTTCTGGAAATGCAGATGACCAACAAGCATATGAAAAAGTGTTCAACATCACTCGTCATAAGAGAGATGCAAATTGAAACCACAATGAGATACCACCTCACCCCAGTGACATCTTCAAACAACTACCAAGTGTTGGCGAGGATGTGGAGAAAAAGGAACTCTCCTGCACTGCTGGTGGGAATGCAAACTAGTACAACCACTATGGAAAACTGTTTGGAGGGTCCTCAAACTGCTAAACATGGAGCTTCCCTACGACCCAGCAATCCCACTCCTAGGTATCTACCCAAAAGACACAAAAACACTGATTGAAAAAGATACCTGCACCCCCATGTTTATCGCTGCTTTTTTTACAATTGGAAAAACATGGAAGCAGCCCAAATGCCCAAAAATAGATGACTGGTTTAAAAAGATGTGGTACAGGCCCTCCCTGGTGGCGCAGCGGGTTAAAGCACAGCACTGAGAATCTAAAGCCGCTTCCGCATGAGTTCAATTCCCGCCTGCCCCGGAGGTGACCACATAGCGTGACAGACCTCTCCTGACCCGCCCGCTGCTCCCCTCAGCAGTGTACTTCGTCGATCTGCCTGTTCTGTTCCCCACTCTGTCTCTGGTGAAGCCTCTCACCACCCCTGAGCCTCTGGCCTGTACCCCAGTTCTGTATGCACAAATAAATAAATCTTAAAAAAAAAAAAAAGATGTGGTAATATATACAATGGAATATTACTCAGCAACCAAAAAAAACCACACATATGTCTTTTGCAGCAACTTGGATGGAGCTGGGAAAGATCATGCTAGGTGAGATAAACCAGAAAGAGAAAGAAAAGTACCGGATGGTTTTGCTCATAGCAAGAGTATAATGGACCAGGTGAGAAAATAATAAGAATAATGAACAGCCATATACCAGAGACATTTGACATTTTGTGGGGGTGGAGTGGGGAATGGGATGAAAAACAGGGGGTGGGGGGAGAGGGAAGTGCACGGGACTATGGTGATGGCACAGGGGTGAGTCGGTGATGGGAAACTCACGGGGATTACAATTGAGATGAGAAAAAATATATACAATATGATGTAAAAATAAACTATTATATTATTTTTAAAAAATCTAAGTGAATGAATAAAGTGAGGAGAGTCAAGAACATTTTAAGAACAACAACAACAAAAAAGTCACCTCTTCCAGGCAGGCTTCCCAGCCTGACCCAGGTTTCTGAGGCCCACCAAGCTTAGTTCTTCCCTCCCCACATACTGAAACTGTTTGTCTGTCTGTCCCACCAGGTTGTGAGTTGTGGCATACCTGTGCCACACCCCTCCTTGCATCCCAATGCACAAGAATACCTGCACATAGTAGGTGCTCAATAAATGTGTGCCAAAAGATTGATACTAATGCATGAACAAAGGTATAATCGTGCAATCTCCATACAGATTTAACAGGTGGCCTTTTCCAGGAAATTTACTGCTATGAGCTAGTAGAATGTGTATGTAGTAACTATAACTCATTAGCCATGCAAAGAAGAACTTTTCATCAGAAGGTTCTCCTGGCTTCTGGAGGAAGTAAGACTAGGTTAGAGCCCACCTCGTCACTGGGCTGTGGATACAATGGTTATTTCAAGAACTTTATTCCAGGATTAGTAACAAATACACAAAATCCTAGAACCTCCAGAATGACCAGAGAATCTCAGCAGGCCTTTCCAAGGCTTCAGGTGCTAAGTGTTGTGTTTACTGGACAATACTTAGAGTAGAGCCATGGGACTTGGTCTTTGGCTTGAATCTCCTACTGTCTGAGCCATGAGAATTGGGAGAGATTTTAACCACCCTGAACCTCAGGCTCTCCTCATTTGTGGAACTGGTTTAAGTCTACAAGCCAGGTGTACCTGATCTGATATTTAAATGAGAGGGTGAGCTTAGAAACACCTGTGGATTCCAAAGGGCTGGCCTCAAAGTGTACACCAGAGCTGGCACCAGCCAGCTGGCTGCTGGGCACCAACAGAGCTGCCCGCTGGGCACCCAGGATGCTGTCAGGGTCTGACGTTCTCAGCAGCAGCTGGCAAAGCAGGCACTTCCTGTTGGAAGAGGAGCTTGATACCTTCTAGCTGCAGGTAAGAAGCCGGAAGTGGAAATGCACTGGGATGCTGAGGGCCCATCAGCAGGCAGGGTCAGGAACTCTGGCTTTAAGTATGCAAGCAGAAGGCCCAGCCAAACCCCAAACCATTATCCGGCCAGAGGCAGGAAAGTGAATCAGAAACAACCAGAAAGAAGTCTGAGGTTAACCTCGCACAGACTGTGGGCCATGGAAAGGAAGGGGCTGGTGGGGGTCTGGGGTCCAGGCAGGGTCTGAGTGGGTGTCTGGAGACCCTTTGGAAAAGATGCCACAGTCTTAGGGGATAGACAGTGACCAAACAGCTGAGGCCAAGGCCAGCCGCTAGACAGCTCCAGGGGAAGAGCTCACATTTCCAGGGGAGTACCCTTCTCTCCCCCCAGGAAAGGCCCCTTCTGCCAGAGCAGCACTTTGCTCCCTGGTTTCCCTCTGCGGCTTCTGGGAAGAGGGGAAGACCAGGCTCTGCTGCCCAGGCTCTAGGACTGCTGAGGGAGCAAGGTGGACCATGGCAGCCTGGGAAGTCCCAGAGCGAGTGAGTGAGCCACCGAGAGGCTTGCACCCAAGGCCCTGCGGGGACTGTGGCCCCAGCCCCTCAGAAAAGCCCGCTGGATGAGCCTGGGCCCTGTCTAGAGACAGGATAGGGTGGCTGGGAGGCAGAAGGGTTACAGCGGGAGCATGGAAGAGGCTGGGTTATGGGAGTTACTGGGAGAAGGGCACTGTAGGGTGCTGAGTGAAAACCCCAAGCTGCCCCCGGGGCTCCATCTCTGCTCTGAAGTCCTGGGGACCCACCGCTCACTCTTCTGGTAGGTACCTTTGTGTGTGTAAATCTAGTGAGGACTGTAAAGGCCCAGAGCCTCAGCCTCATTTACTCTTTCATTGCTACTTTTATTGCTCGCACAAAATGGTAAACAGAAAAGTCAGGAGGGAAGTCAGGTATTCATCAAACAGTTGCATTAGAATCAGTGTGTACCATACAATAAGCACAGAAGCAGGAAGACACAGGGACTGACCGCTCACAGAGGGATCTGCCTGGATGTGAGCCTAGCTGGCCAGCTGGAGGGTTATGGCCGAGGAGGCCGTACACAGTCTCAAGCAGGCAGATGGTCTCATCCTCTTCTCTACCCAGCGCTGCCAATAAGACTGAACAGCTTTCGTTGGTTACTGGTGGAATCATGTGTGAGGCACTCTGTAAAAATGCAATCTCGGGCCCTCCCTGGTTGTGCAGGGGGTTAAAGCACAGTACTAAGAAGTTAAGCCGCTTCCGCATGAGTTTGATTCCCGCCTGCCACTGAGGAGATCCACATGGCGCGGCAGACCTCTCCTGACCCGCCCGCTGCTCCCTTCAGCTGTGTACTTCGTCGATCTGCCTGTTCTGCTCCCCGCTCTGTCTCTGGTGAAGCCTCTCACCCTCCGTATCTCTGGCTGTACCCCAGGTCTGTATGAATAAATAAATCTTTTTTTAAAAAAATGCAATCTCACTCTGTTCTGCAATAGCTCCATGAGTGAGGTGCTAATATGGTTTTGAAAATACAGAAAAAAGAAACAGGAAAAAAGAAAAGAAAAACCAATCCCGGGGCCTCCCTGGTGGCTACAAGCTACCTGCAGCCTCTTCAGCAGAGTTCGATCCCCGGCCAGGGAGGTGACACACAGGGTAAGACAGACCTCTCCTGCTCCCCACTGCTCCCCTCAGCACTTTGTCCATGTGCCTGTCTCTGGTGAATCCTCTCACCCTCTGTACCTCTGACCTGTACCCCAGTTCTGTATGCATAAATAAATAAATCTTAAAAA